GGTCATAAAATAAAAAGTTTGCGGCGCTAAGAAAGCATTTATGTACATTTATATGTATGTACATAAGAACTACTGATTGTCTCACTCAACTGTCGTTAAACAAACATACTTATATGCATACACATATGTACATACTTGGTGAAGGCAAGAAAAAACTATGTATGTATGTTTGTACCTTTTTTGTCGCCGTAAAGCAACTATGGTTGAACGGTAGAAGAAGATGAAGAAGAAGAAGAAGAAAGATCCAACTGAAGGCAAAAGAAAATGTTAACCACAACAACTGCCGCTACCATTTATGGGCTAAAGCAACAAGCATAGCAACAACAACAATGCTAAATGTTTGCAACTTTTGCCTCGACGATCATTGTTGCCTTAGCAAATATCGGTTTCTTTTTTCACCACTTACTATTGTTGTTGTTTTTTTTTTTTGGTTAAATTTAGTTTAACTGTTGCTGCTGTTGTTTTTGCTTTGCTATTGCCATTTACCATTATTATTATTTCTTCTAGTTCTTTATGGTCTCTCCGACTTTACAATTGCCTGTCGACATACATTCTCCTAAATGTTCTATGAACGCTAACGACATGTCAACTACTGTTATTGTTGGTCAGCGTGCACATCCGTAGCGGTGAAGTTATATTGTTGCTGTTTAGCGGTAAGGAGTTGTTGTTGTTGTTGTTGCTATTATTCGCTCACTACCAATGGAGCGGGGTAACCGATGGTCGGTCGGCAGGTTGGTAGTTTGGTTCGTTGGTTGGTTGATGGTTTGTGCAATAGAAAGCATTGAAAGGCATTTATGTGCACAAATGTGACAGCTACAACAAAAGCAACAAGAACAAGAGAAAAACCAACAGCAATACCACGATATTGACAACAAAAGCGTTGTTAGCGTATAAGGAAGTAAAATACATAAGCAACAACAAAAGCAAAAACTACAACAAAAACAACAATTACTACTACTACAACAACAATACACATGGAATTCATAAAAAAATGGTAGTTTTGTACGAAGAAGGCAATTCAAACAAACAAACAACAACCATTGGCAACAGTGAAATGTTGTAGGAAGAAAGCCTTTGATTTTATAGGCATAAATATAGATACGTATATACATACATACATACTCTTATATAAACTCACATACCTACCTAAACATTTTTCAGCAGGTTACCCATGCGGATATGTATGTATGTATATTCTATTTCCTCTTTAGCCCTCTTTGCTTTGACATGTGCGGCAGCTGCTTAAACCGGTGTTGGCTAAAGGATAATAGCTAAAAAAAATCACCCTTTACATATATTTCAGATAAAAGGTTATATATATTTCTAGGCAATCTCCAACCTATCTATCTTCCAAACTATCAGAACGCATAAAAATAAGTTTCATTAAAATCGTTTCAACCGTTTGGAGGTGAACTACTTCCCAACTAGTATGCAATAACTAGTATTTTAACTAGTATTAATGAACTGGTATTTAACTAGTATGAAGCTGCTGCATAGGTTGACAATTAACAGTTCGCAGCGCATCGCCTTGTTAAAAATACCAGTTGCTTACATGGAAAATAGATGGAAAATGAACTGGCTGGTGTACAAATGCAAATTAGTTGGTTTCAAGTTAACAACCAGTATTTTTCCCTGCAGGGTATCAACGCACTCGCATACTTCTACAATCATATGTATATATTTATGTGCTCAATTGCGTAGACTTGAAAGGTTGCTTAAAGCTCGCTGCCTTGGAGCTTGGATTGAAAGAACACAGGGCAGTATGGAAGTCCAATCACGTGCCATTGATACCACTTCAAATGTCAATTTCATAGATTGAGATCACCTAACAGTCTCAGCAGTTAAGTAAAATGTCTAGCGTAGCGTCTATTGTATGCCACGTACTGTGGCCAAAACTGCCGCACTTGTCGCCCGCGTTCAGATGTCTTATTCGCTTTATGTCAAACTCAGTAGAACAGTTTTAACCTTACTGTGTTTTGGCGAAAGTTGCACGTATTAAGACGGTCCGCTTATAGTTTCACTTTACCCCACTATGAAGAAGCTCGAAAAGGGATTATATATATATAATTGACGCTTTGTTACCGCTAAAACGATTTTTGAGCGATCTCTTACACTGATTTGTGGTGCGCATCTTGATGTTTTTCGAATAAATGGAATGACCTACAGCTTATTATTAAGCCATCTCCGAACTCGATTATCGCGACTGCGATAGAGTTTGCCTGCTTAAATAATAATAAAATGGTTTACCGGCTGACTTATTTTCCGCGTACTCTGTGAGAGATTGAAGCACACCTTCAGTGAACTGATTTAACATTATCACTGTGCATTTTAGACCTAGCAAATATATGACTGACCAGAAATTCGGCATGTGCTAAACCCCATGAGAAAATATCATCAAACACCATCTTTATATCCACATTAATGTTGCCCTCGAGAGTACTGCAAATTTGCAGTAAGCAACACCAAAAGCTCTGCTCAGCGTATTAAGAAATGTCAGTAGGTGAAGGAGGACTTAGTCTCACTTGGTGTTTCCAATGTACACCGGAAGGTCGGTAGGCGGTGCCTATCAAGCCCATGAAGAGGCGACAGCCTTAACGCAAGTGTCCAGGAGTGCACCAACTTAAATCAATCAAACGCCTCTGCACCATCGAAGAAATTGCTTAAAAACTTAACTTTCCTCATATCGATCTTACGAACATCGCTGCATGTCGAACACTTGCCTGAAACATCTACTCTGTACTCTCTCCATATTAAAACCCTAAAGAGCTCTTTCTGTCCCAATAATCGACGAGTGTTTTTTACGTGAAGACAATTTAAAGAAAAATTCTCGTGTTGATTAATTTCGCGATTAACTTTAGCATTTAGAGTTTGAGATTTTGATCGGCTCGAGCGTGTTGTTTTTTTTTTTTATTTTTTTTTGTTGAAGAGGCTCACTCAACAGCGCTTTCGAGCACGCAAAGCCAGTTTATATCGTGGAAGAGAATCAACGGTAAGCCCTGGAAAAGATAGCGGTGTTAGATAAAGTAGATTTGAGTGGCCTTTCAAAGAGATGACGGGCTTCAATTCTGGGCCAAGTCTAGTACAGAATATAGACTTAAATTTTGCCAATATTACTCGTGACCCGCTAGGCATTTCGAGTTCTTCGTCTGATATGACATTGAGATATGGCCATAGGCGCTATCGTTTCGTTTAGCTGGAACAGCATACGACATTGGCTGCATTCTTGAAAACAGGAGTGTCATAAGTAAAAATTCCATTTAGAACACTTTTGTTCGTTGGTAGATCCTAGGTAAACAGATGATGAAGAATTGAACCAAATAAGCTGCCTTGCGAAAACCCAGCTTCAATGCTGTGAAACGGGGGCATTTCGTTGTCAAAGACTTGTCCAAATGTCCAAGAAGGCAGCTTAGCAGAATGATTTTTTGCTCAAAAAGCGATTGAATTTCTTTTCAATCATAGCTAGACAGCTCCTTGGTGGAGCTCTGTTTCCTTAAGACGAATTGATGGTTCTGGAATTGATTCGCGAATAACTTAATGATACTTTTTAGAAGAAGGTTTCTCTCTTTTTTCAAGATTACGAAAAGGATAATATGGCGGCAAGACTTCTTCTCCTAGCTTCTTTGGTTTCAGAACCATCTTGATCTTGGCTACAGGAGGTTTTGAGTAAGTGAATGATAAATTTGAAGGCTTCATCAGGAAGTTTTTTTTTAACTTTTACAGTGATTCGGGCATACTATGGTGCTTTGTGGTTTTCTGGGTTACGAATAGTGCTTGGTATCTCTTCTCTAATAAATATTTTCATTGCCTTTCTATTTGATGAGGTTCCTCTAGAAATTTGGAGCCAAACGTATCTATGGAAGAGTAGCGTTTGGTAAAGAGGATTTTCAGATATTCGGTAAAATGTTTCGATTTCTCCAAAGAGGTTCTCGTATAAGATTTGAGGTTTAAAAGTGGATAGGTGGCATCATTATCGAATCAGTGTGACCAGTGCGCCCCCTAGAGAATAATATTAGGTCTAGCAACAAGCCATCAACTAACTTTGCAATAGATTGCTTGAGTCTTTCGTATCTCGAAAGGCATTGTTGATTCGTCTCAAAAGCGTTTAAAATAATTAAAGAGCTTAAAGTCGCAAATTTTCAAAAAAAAAAAAAAAAAAAGTATTCAGAAAACTTATTCAATATTTTACAGACACAATCAGAAAGAGATACTTAAATACATATATCTGTGTATGTTTGTATAAAAAAAAAGTGTAAAACTTCTCATTTCATTTCGCCTACTTACGTTTTGGAAATAATGGCGGTCTATATCGTCCACTACCACCACTGCTGCTGCCAATATTGAGCACAGTGTTGTTGCCATTGCAATTGTTGTTGCCATTAAAATTATGATTACTGCCACTGCCGGTGCCACTGTTGTTGTTGCTATTTATGCTATTGATAATATTAGCAATATTGTTGTTGCCATTGGTTAATGTGCCATTGGTGTTTCCATTGCCACCGCGTTCGCCAACACTACGATCGCCAATGCTGCCAACGCTACTGGCAGCACTGCCAACGCTATTGCTATGATGACTACTCAAACTATAGTTGCTGCTCCTCTCCGATTGTTGTTGTGATTGTGAACGTTGCAATATTGCTTCGGCAACTACTGAGCTGCTGCTGGTGATACCACCACCAACACCAACACCACCACTACTACCACCAGTACCACTGCTGCCGACGCCTCCAACCGTGGCTGGTGACGATGCCAAGGCACCGCCACCGAAGAGGCGCCTTTGCTGTAGGAAAGCCGTTTTGTTGTTTACGCGGCGAGCGATGTGTTGGAGTGGTGTTGAAAAATTGTTGGTTGGTTGTTCTCGTTGTTTTTAGAGGCGAGTCTTTTTAATGGGTTTTATATTTGTTTTTGTTTTTATTTTTTATTTTTACTGGAATTATTTGTTTAATCTAAATTTTGCTTGATTTCGCGATTTTGCGATATGGTGTCTTGCTGTTGCTGTTGTATTTTTGTCTAAAAATTTATTTGCACTTTCCGGTATTAACTGTGTTTACACATTCACGTTAAATTTATTTTTTATTGGTTTTTTTCGGTTTATTTAGCAATTTTAATTTTTTTTATTGTTATTGTTGTTTTTTTAATGACTGAAAATTAAATATTTACGTTTACGCCGTTGTGTTTACAACATGTTTTTAGTTGTTTTTGTATGCATTAAAATTTTTTTATTTTTTTTTTATGTTATTTATTTATTTATTATTATTTTTTTTGCTTTACTGTTATCTTATTCTATTTGCTTTATCAAAACGCTTCTCTCCAAAGCTCATCAACAGCAGCATATCTGTTTACCAATTCTGATTACTTGCTGTATATACATAAATGTGGGTACATGTGCATGTAAGTATGTATTTATATACGAGTATGTATGCGCTATTATATATAGGGGAATATGTGTGTGTGGTTTTCTGAAGATTTTTTATTTAGTTTTTTTAATGTGAATTTATTGTTGTCTCTTTGTAGTCCACCGGCGTATTTAGCAATTTGTTTCTATTTTGCGTTTATGTTTATTTGCTGCGTGATTTTTGTTTAAACCAATTCTTTTACTACTTTTGCGAATTTCAGATAAAAATATTCGAGGTTAAAATTTTTTTATTGCTCTGAAATAATCTGTAATGAGCATTACTTCTTGGTTTCAAGTTTTCATAAAACATTGTTAAATTTGTAGGAAATACAAAACCCGTCCCATGAAAAACGAGATTTAACAAAAAAATATTTTTCTTTTCCAATTTCATTAATTTTGGTTCAAATAATCTCTAGGTTTTGTTTTATTGGTCAGTTTTTCGAGCAATTGGAAATCAACGTTTTCAAAACTCGCGTACTTGGAAGACAAAGGACAAAACCGTAAACCGAATACAATAAACGAGTTGTATTCAAAACAGAGATGCTCAGCTAACGAAACGATTTCATTTCGTTTTGTTAATATGAAAAATAAATTTAACGAAATGGTTTTGCTTCGTTTCGGCGCCGTTTTCCATAAACGAAATGAAATTCTTATTGTTGCAACTGCTCCAACTTGGCGTTAACGTTAATGTTAAAATAGCTGTTTGCTATGATATTAACAGCAGACTTCAATTTTAACGTTTAACATTATCTGTTAACCAATTAACATTATCTGTTACAAACTTAACATTATCTGTTAACGACTTAACATTATCTGTTGCAAACTTAATATTATCTGTTAACGATTTAACATTATCTGTTAATGATTTAACATTATCTGTTAACGACTTAACATTATCTGTTAACCACTTAACATTGTCTGTTAACGATTTAACATTGTCTGTTAACGACTTAATATTGACTGTAATATTTTATTTCGTGTAAAAATAAAAATTAAATTTAATTTGGTAACTGCTTTAACTATAAAATTTCCAAATGTGTCAGTCTAATTGATTATTTTTTTTTATTTTTTTTGAATAACGTGAAATTTATCAATGCAATGTCCTTTGCGACTGTAAAACGGCAGCTATTTAATAACCTCTTTATTTTTGTAAATAAAAAATAATCAGCGGTAAATGGAAATTATGAAAGGTGGGGCTTGGTTACAGGCTATATTTTCGATGGCTTCACGTTCGGCCGCACTTGCCTAGCCTTCTCCAGTCTTAGCGAGCCAGAATTTTGCCACTTCAATGATTGTGTCCTGGTTTCGACATCGCATCCGTAAGTTTCGTCAGCAATTTGGTAAACAAAAAAAAATTTGTTGCCAACCATTTTGTACACAAAAAACTGGATACTTTAAGGTTTTTTTTTTTTGACGATTTTTCATAATAATTTTCTTCCCTTTTTCCCCCGTTTCCATTGGTTGTCATCTTCAACGTCTACATGATATTCTTGGAAGCACTTATATCACTCGTAAACTCTTGCTTAACTCACCATAAGTTTCAGTTGAGATTCCACTAGATTTTTAGGCAAAATTTAAAAATTTTTTTTTTTTTTAACAAACAACGCGTCTAACCTTTGGGCTGCCACAGCAGATAAGATCGGCAATAAAACCGTCCAATGTTTTATCATACTTCAGTGCTATAAATGTTTATCAACATAATAAGAAATTCAAAAATTCTTATAAATTTTTCTATACATTTCGTACATCTCTATTGCAAGCATTCTTGAGTCTAGCTTGAACTAGATATAAAACGGCTTCCTTATGTTAAGGATTTGCATGGTTTGTAACTTCAAAAAAAAAATATCTATAATATTTTATATAAAAGTAAAAAAAACCTCAGGAATATACTGTAAAAATTTCATGTCGATCGGGCTAAAACTCGCTGAGATACCGATTATCTCCTAATCGTGCTCAAAGCAGGTATTCAGCGGCAGCTATTTGTCTTCCTGAGTTTCGCCACTCTCTGAAACTACCGTTCGCCCACTGATGTATGACTTTGAAAGGGCGTTTATTCGTGAAACTATTTGATAGTATTTTTAGGTATTTTTCCACGAGAAACTGAAATAGTCTGGCTGGGAATATGTTGGCGGTTTTATTCAAAATTCAAATGAAAGTTTTAATCAACTTGTTTGGCAAAACGCTCCAAAACATCTTCAAACTGACTTTAAGGGGGTTGAACCAGCTGTAAACATTGCTACATGTATGTTTCATGAAGGTAACACAGCTCATATAAGCATGCTATTCGAGATAACTTCGGTTATTCTGTTTACGAATATGTCCGGGAAGAAGACAACACCGGTATTGAACTCGCCTAACGAAAATTGACGCGATTCTCTAAGGAGGAAAACCAGCTTGTAGACAACAAACAAATGATTATATATACTCAACAGCTGCTTCTGCCTATCCTCATCCCGTGAAGCCGGATTAAACAGTGTCCAGTTATTATACACGTCGCTATGCTAATGGGGAACCGGTTCAGAAGGATAAGATGTTTGGATTTTTTCGCGTTTTTATCGTAGATAGAAGGATTCCTTCCCTTGCGAGTTTGGCTGCCATGCAACTGCCTGGGATGTCGCTTTGTCCAGGTACCCAGACCACGGCAGTACTGTACTTCATTGCGAGTTTGTTGAGAGTGTTTCTTCAAAGTGCCAAAATAAATGCGATGACTGTTTTTGTGATGACAGAAGATCCTTGGCTTTGTCCTCATTCACTATACCTATTTTACACACTTCTTTATTCAGCTTGGAAAGAGTAAACCTAACGAGGATCTAATGTTCAACCCCGTCATAGTGAAGGAGTTTCGCGTTCACCATATCCAAATATTTCAATTTCACTGTCATTCAGCAGGCCGGTGAAGTAATCCCTCCATAAATTCAGTATACTCTGGGCATCCATTACAAGCTCACCCCTCTGGGTCTTACAAGTGTTTGATCCGACATTGAAACCTTTCCTGAGTCATCGTATCTTTTCGTAGAATTTTCGAGCATTACCCTTGTGGGTCAGCTGCCCAAGCTTCTCGTAGTCACGCATTTATTTCGGCCTTTTCATTTTTTCCTGCAAATCTGTTGTTGTAACGGTTCGCTAACCCCGCTTAGGAACAGGTTTGATCAGTCTTAGTCGCCGAGGTCATCTAGTGGGAGGTCCAGGAAACGAGCTGTTTCGACGGGGTTGAATCAAAGGGAGAGGGGGGTTAGATGAGTTGGTTTGAGAGGGCATGTGAAGAGGTGGTTAGTGTCGAGCGGAGATTCTCCACATGCAGGGCATATGCTGCCTATGCTGGGGTCTAGTCCGAATAAGTAGGAGTTTAACCTGCCACAATATCCAGACCTAAGTTGTGTCAGTACTGCAACGACTCTCACGACAGCCGGTTATACGCATCGGAGTTGACCCGGATTTTATTCGGCCAAGGACTGTCACCCTTTCGGCTACCAAACCCCGTTTAGGTCAAGAGGTAACATTAGTCCTGCAAATGCGTCTTGCTTCCCTCTTCAACTCTCGGTATCTATCCCTAACCGCACGTGGTGTGGTCGATCGTAAGGTTGCGAGATAGGCAGTCTGTTTTCTCTCCACTACGACATGGCATTCCTCATCGTACCAGCTATTTTTGCGATCTTTCTGAAATTCAATAGTTTCGTTTGCTGCTGGAAGTAGGGAATTTGAAATGCCGTCTCACAGTTCCCTTACACCGGCTTGCTGATGAGTGCTCTCAGAGAGCAGATGTGCAAGTTGAGTAGTAAACCGCTCGGCAGGCTGTTGTGATTAGTGCTTTTCGACGTCTAACCTTTGCTGGGTTCGTTGACGGGCGTTCTTCGATACACAGAGGCGTGCGTATCTTCGCTGCGGCAAGGTAATGATCCGAGTCGATATTAGCACCTCGGAAGGTACGCGCATCTAAAACACCAGATGCATGTCTTCCGTCTACTATTTATACTTATGTACATCCATCTAAAGTCAAACACAAACAACAACTCAAGACGGCTGACCATTCACAACCCCGTACTTTCGTCGTTGGGCTGAGATACCTCCCAATTTGTGAAAAAAGTGATCGAAAAATATCACAAACCGGATCGAATTTTACTAAGATTCGCGTGAAGGTCGTTTCAATGATTTAGTGTGATGATCAAGATTGAAACCTTATAATAAATAAGAGATTTCAGAAAAAAATTAGAAATAAGAAACTGCAATCGATAAACTGGGTAAATTTGTCATTTAGTTTCAAAAAAACATATATTTTTATTTTGGATTGAAAAACTAAAGTCAAAAGTCTTTTAAAAATGTAGAAATACGGTATAATCTTGCATACATAAGAGTATATATGTAAACACAATGCAATTTGTACTCCATCAAATCTGATTCGATTGATTTTACTATTCCCTCGTTTCTACTAAAGAAAATTAAAAAAAAAAAACAATTATTTTTTAATATTTATAAAAATAGCATTCGATTTTAGTTTTGCACTACGTCCAATCGTTTTCGGCCAAAACAATAATTTTTTACTTTTTTTTTAGCAAAACCAAAACGAACCAAACGAGGAATTGCGTATATAATTAAAAGAATTTACACTCCACCTCGTTATACTTGACATTATTGTTTTTTTATTTTTTATTTTTTATTTTTTATTTTTTATTTTTTTAACTTTTATTAAACGCACCGTTAGAGAATTTTTGGCATGTTTTGCACTATTAAGGCTTCAACGACTTTTCAAGTGACAACATACATATATATGTACATATATTGCGTATAAAAAAGTGAGAAATTAAGCAACCACACCAATCTAGGATTAAACCACTTTCGTAGCTAAAGTGCAAATACATGCACATATGTACTCATATATACGAGTAGGCATATATGTATGTATACAAAGTTAGCCTAGTAGGAAAAAAAATTCAAAAAAAAATACAATTTCCCAAGAGTATTTTAATTGTGCCATCCCTTTAGCACTTCACTGGGAAAGTCTATTATTAAGTCTCCTCAGTTACCGCAAATTAACATGCAACACCTTAATTAATATCGTTCAAAGCATAACCTACTTTGCGTATGCCTTTCTTCATAAGTAGCTCTGCATTAAAAACAAAAGTTGTATCTATACACTAATAGTCTTTTTGAACCATACTATTCAATACTTTACATACATTTGTTCATATGTAAAAGCCAAACATATGGATATACATATGTACATGCGAGTACATATGTATGAAAGTATATAGTCCACACACTCGCACATTTATCAATTTATTATATAAAACACCCAAATGTCCTTGAAAACTACAATCACACACACAGCCACTCTCGCTAAGGCAAAATTTGTGCGCAAAGATGCCTCGTTCTCGTATATTACACTTGCAGGATGCAATTGTCAGCATATCACATTCGAGTACATATGTAGATATACACACACAATCATACACATTTTCATTTATTAGATCGCTTTATGTGTATGTGTTTGAATAGATTCATTTTCACAAAGCCTTTTGAAAAGGTCCGTGATTTGCGCACTTTTGCAATCATACACAAATATGTACATACATATGTATATGTATGTATATATGTAGAAAAATATTTAATTATTATATTTTTATTTTATTTCCTTTTTTTATTATTTTTTCTTAACGCTCATCACTTGTAAATACAATTTATTTACATAGCTATTCAGTATGACTCGATATTATTTACTCAAAAACCACACAGCTGTCAAGTGGAAACAGTCATTATATACTCGTCTTGCAATCAGTTATTGCATGGAACTGATTTACGTATGTACATATGTATGTACATATGTTAACAATATTTATTTATTTTTGCGCTATCAAACACTTGAAAAATTATTTGCACATTTTTTTTTAATTATTATTAATTTTTTTTTTTTTAATTCAGTCATTTATTTATGATTTTCTCTTTAAAACAACAATTTTATTATTATCCACACATTTCCTATACGCGTATTGACGATATGTCGTCTCACCTTGGCCTACCCCAGCACTGCAACTATCACAAGTCAGAAAACCAAATTTACCGATCTCGTTGAATTGCGTTTTTGAAAATTTCAGGATGCGACACCACCATATGCTTGTTAACAGCAGCGTACGTTTGAAAAATGCAGAAATTTTGAATATATTCCTAAGGGTTGTTTGCTTATTTATTGTTAATGTTGTTGTTTATGCGTTGCACCATCACCACACCACCATTAAAACAACACAATGAAAACACTATACGAGTTGTTGGTGGTTAGGCGAGTAAGTGTCAAAAACAAGGGGTGGCAATGCGATTTTATTGCAAGTGCTGTTGTTTTTGTTCTCATTTTTATTCTATGAAAAAGAGTATCACATAAAGTTGTTGTTGAGCGAGCGAGTAAATAACCGAACAACTTACTTATGAACTCCCCGTCAGCGCATACTATAAAAACAAAACACGTGCGAACAACTCAACAATTCTAAACGAACTGAGGCCGCATTGCTAGCCTTCGACAGCGATAGACATACTGCAAAGCAGCAGCAGCAAACAGCGACCGCAACCTCACCAGCTGAGCGCCTCTGTATTGCGGCGCGCGTCCGATGAGAAACGAAGTCGATGTAACCTCGTCAATGCAGCAGCAATAAAACAATTGGGGGGCGTCATTGTTGTGAATACACTAATGCATGAAGTCGCATAGCTCCATAGCGTCAGCTGTGGAAGCAACCAAGAGTTTGTTGATGTGTTTACAGTATGCGTCATTTATTTAAGCACACACCTTTTAAGAACTGTAATACAAATGAAATTTTATTGAAATTATTTATATTTTTCTTATGTGTGTGAAATGTAATCATACTAAAGGAAGGGGTAAAATTTTTGTTTAGAGCCACTGGCTTTCGCAAATAAATTTTATATGGATGGAAAGAGGAAAAATCCTAGATTCTAAAACTAATTTTCGTTTCTTTAGCTGACTTATAATTTTTTAATAATTCTATTTTAAATTTTGAGTAATAAATGCAAAATTACGTCTACATTGGAGTTGCCGTACTACTAAGTAAAATAATACTTAAGTACAGAGCCTGTTTCTTTGTATTTTGGCTAGGCAGGCGTAGCCACTCAGTAAAAAGGTTTATAAATTAAGGATAAATATGAAGGAAATATAATAAGAAAATTGTTTAAAAAATAAAATGTTATTCACTTAAAAATTTTAAGTTAAGTAAAACTCCTTTATAAATTCACGCTTTGGATTGTAACCCTGGGCCGGAGCAACACCGGCTTCGCCTTGCACAGTATTCTTAAGTGAAACTCCTTTGAAAATTGGCGGCCTTTGGCCGCACTTTGGATTGTAACCCTGGGCCGGACCAACACCAAGTGAAACTCCTTTGTAAATGGGCGGCCTTTGGCCGCGCTTTGGATTGTAACCCTGGGCCGGAGCAACACCGGCTTCGCCTAGCACAGTAAATTTTCATTTTGTTTTGTTTTCATATTTTGTTGATGAATATTGTTTGATTTGTATAATATTTTACATGGTACGGCACCGCCTTCCATGTTCATTGTATGTACGGCAACACCATCCATATTAGTATGCAGCCATGTTTAAGTGAACATTTGTTTTGATTATAATATAATTTGTTAATCTTTATTTAAGTCACATTGCGCGTTAATATATACAAAATAAGTGAAACTATTTAATAAAATCAAAGTAATATTTGTTTTTGTTAAACAAAAATGAAAGAATAGTGACCGATTCATAAAGAAATAATGGAATAAAGTTAACAATTTATAACAACAAATAACTTATAAACTATAATATATTCAAATTCCAAAAGTTAAAATATTGGAAAAATATATTTCTCTCATCATTCCTACGAAGTTTCATGTCGAAATTCCTGGTTGTTTGCTACAATATCAAGTGGGGCTGCATATCAAAGCTCAGCCAAGGAAGGGTTAAGAAACCTCAATTGCAGCAACTTTTAGTTCAGCATGGGAATCACATCGGGAAGGACACTACTGATGTTAAAATGTTAATGGTGGCCTGCAGGCGTCTGGTTAATACCATGAACCGACAATGCGGCTTGCTGGAAACCATATTTTGTTTTCTTTTTTTACTTTTGACTAAAAGTTACGTGTTGTTGGAAAGGCGATTTCTAAAAATCCAATGGCAGTATGCTGCCTTATGATAAGTTTTGAATTCCTGTGGGTCACCTCAGGTCATTGTTCGATTGATTTAGTAACACTCTTCAAATAGTTGCTCGCGTGGTTCAAACTCTTCATATTTTGTATTCAAAAACTTGTGAAGTCCAGCATTTGAGTGGCATGAAGATGCCGTCCTTTAGAACTGAAACTGGACACAAAATAAACTAACATCTTTTAAATTCTCTCTCACATTTTGCTCCAATTTTTTCATACTTGCCCTTTTGCCACTTTTACAGTGTTATTTATGTTAAAATTTCTTGGATTTTTTTTTTTGACGAAATTTTCAGCTAATAGTAAAAAAACTGATATCCTGCTCTCCATAGGATAGAAAACATAAGAGCTGTTTCAAAATTTTGTTCTGTTTTTCCGAATGACCAAATCTGGCTGCTGGAAATGAAATGGAGCATACTTTCATTAAAGCCTGCTAATTTTTTTTTTGTTCCAAGTTTAGGTAAAAATACAAAAAAATAAAAATGATAATAAAAAAATGTATACATAATAGGTACTTTGTAACCGCTGAAGGGATTCTCGGCCGAAGCCTGCGTCCAATTGGTGGTATGCAATTGATGTTTTTCTAACATATATAAATACCTAAACTTTAAGAGGAGCTTTTCCTTCATGTTAAAAATATCCTCGAAGGGCTTGGCCTTCCATGCAGAGGGGCGATCCCGAATAGAAAATATAATTTTCTATAATTTTGGAATGAATGCCGGTACCCAATGCAAACCACTAGCCTTCCGCGGCCGCCATTCTTCTTTAGATTAGTTGTTTTTTGGATATTTTGTGGAACTGGTAGTTAACTGAATCGATTATGACAATTGTTACCTCGGACTGTTGAATATAAAAATTGTTTGCATATATAGTTCGCTGAGTTCATAACTGATTTATTCAATTTACCCGACTTTTTTCCGCATCTCCTCACATAGATTATTCAGGTAAGAAAATGGATGTTTTAACTTATTCATTATTCTATTTAAGGTGATATACCTGGAAATAATAAGCTTGCCCATACAAATATGTACATACATTCCAAAGAAGAAGCAGTCATAACTACAAAAATTTATTACCGAAACCATTAATGTGCTACGCACTGTACAAAACGTATGGGCACGAGCGTAAACCAAGTAACACACGAGCCGCAATAATGCTCGTGAAGAAAATTAGCTGCAATACTCACTCACACATAGCTCATATAGCGACAACAACAACGTTGTGCATATGAAATATACTATTGCAAGGCTCAAGCCAGTAACAACTAAAGAACGAGTAAAATGCAACAAAAAGCTTATTGAGGAAAACATTGGAAAATGCTTGCGGAGAGCATGTTTATAGAGATATATATGTACGTGCATACTCGTATACAGTTGGGCTGATTTAGAAGTGAGCAATAGAATGCAACGTCTGCGCGCACAGTGGTGGCAAAATATAAAAACTTTGTCTTATATTGACCTTATTTTTTCATTTTAATTGAAAAACTGCATAAAAAGGACGATTTAAGGGGATTCTTCTGAAAAATAAACATAAATTTCAGTGAATGGTTTGGATGAACCCAAATTTGCGGCTAATCTGAGTGTGGTTTTCCCCTTCAAAATAAGAAAAAAAAATTAATTAACTCAGTAAAAAAATTTTTTATTTTACAAAAAAAGTGTACATATGTATGTATGTATATGAAAATCATTTCTTTGCACTATTTTTATCGTGGGAGTGCCTTAAAATACATAGGAAACCCTCTTGGCCCAAATAATATGTTTTCTTATTATTACTAAGTCTGGTGGCACTTCCGAAAAAGGGATTTGTATAAAAATCAATAATAATTGTTTTTTTATTTCCAATTTGTTTATTTTCTTAATTCTTGGCAGCAAACATTTTTTCAAAAATATCTAATTAATGATATGTTTATTTTACTTGCATTTGTAGGTATGTATTGCATACATATATGTATGTATATGTATATGTTGATGGCACACGCCCATCAATACAAATGATAAGATCATCGAACTTTTAAACAAACACATGCACATACATATGGTACATATTATGTATATAAATACGAGTATGTATTAACAATACTTATAAGGAGATAAGCGAAAGCACTGATTTGTTGATGCTAATGCCATCAACAACTTTTCTGTTTACAATGAAAGGGTCCAAGGCCTGTGTACATATTTAAACATATTGTATTTGTAAATACCCAGCAGAAAATTTCTACAGCAGAAAATTCTGATTTATGCCAATAAAACTCCAGATAAGTTAAAATGAACTGAAAAGAACCAAAACGTCTTTTAAATGATGCATTCAAAAAATAAAATAATAACAATAAATTCTCAGTCAAATAAAATGAAATAAATAAAAGAAAAATTAAATGAATTGATGTTGAATTATATAACATTAAATAAATCGTTAAAAAAAATATAAATTTAATTAATATTATATAAAACAAATTAAAGTAATATAAAATAAAATAAATTTGAAATTAAAACAATATAATATACAATAAACGAAATTGAAAAAGAAATAAAATTAAATATTAAAAAGAAAAGAAACTCAAAAAAAAAAGAAATAATTAAATTGAAAGAATACAATTAAATTAAGTAATTAAAACCGAATATAATAAAATAATAATGCAAAATAAAATAGAATATATTAAAATAAATTACAATAAAATAAAATACACCCAAAATGAAGCAAATAAAAAAATAACATATATAAAATATTGTAACACAAAATAGAATAAATTAAATTAAAAAAATTAATTAAATATAAAAGAAATAAAATAAATAAAATAAAACAAAGTAAAAAAAAATAACATGACATCAAATAAAATAAAAAAAATAATATTCGAAAAAATATATAAACAAATAAAACCAGTAAAATAAAATAAAATAAAGCAACAAAAATTAATTTAAAAAATAACAATATAATACTTAATGGAATAAATTAAATTTAAATAAATCGTAATAAAATAAAATGAAATTAAACTAATAAAATAAAGGAAAATAAAACAAGAAAATATAAAATAAAATAAAACATAGCAAAATAAAATAGAAAAATTAATAAATAATTATAATAAAATAATATAAAAAAGAATAAATTTAATTAGTTGTAAATTAAATAAAATAAAATATAATTACATAATATGAAATACAATAGTTATTAAAATTTTTTCAAAACTAATTAGGATAGAATAAAAAAATAAAAAATAAAATAAATTATTTAAAGAAGTTTTAAAAATTAATATATAATATCATTTTAATTTAATTTTAATTTTTAAATAAAACTAAAAAAATAAAGGGTGCTTTTTTAGCTATTATCTTTTTGGCAACACTGGTTTAAAAAGCTGACGCACGTTTCGTCTTTTGTATTACCGTCAAACATCTTCAGCTTGGTCTATAATTTAATCATGCATCGCCTCACAAATGAACAACGCTTGCCAATTATTGAATTTTATTATCAAAATGTGATATCTGTTGAGAAAGTTCATCGCGCTTCTAAGCTCATTTTTGGCTTAATTGGTGCGTAAATAAATAGAATTGTCGATTTAGGAGTGAAGATCAGGCAGAAGCATTGCAAGAGCTACCAATACATCCAGACAAACTCACAGTTTGGTGCGGTTTATAGGCTGGTGGCATCATTGGACTGTACTTCTTCAAAGATGATGCGAATCGTAACGTAACTCTGAATGGTGAGCGCTACCGTGAGATGATATTAAACTTTTTTTAGCCCAAAAAGCAACAGCTTGACTTGCATGACATGTGGTTTCAACAAGGCGGTCCACATGCCTCACAGCACGCATATCAATGGGCTTAATGAGAGGCGAGTTCGGTGAACATATTATTTCGCGTTCGGAACCGGTCAATCGCCCGCTTAGATCGTATGATTTAACGCCTTTAGACAATTTTTTGTGGAGCTATGTTAAATCGAATGTCTATACAGACAAGCCCGCTTCAATTGATGCATTGGAGGACAATACTGAAGCATTTATTCGTGAGATACCGGCCGAAATGTTGGAAAGAATATGCCAAGCGGACTAAGCGGATGGATCATTTGAGGCGCAGTCACGGTCAACATTTGCATGAAATAAACTTCAAACATTAAATTATATGCACCGCACTATCGTTTCAAATAAAGATTTCATAAATTTTTCTGAATTTTATGTGTTTTATTTTTGAAAAACTTTCGTATAGCTCAAAAAAAATCACCCTTTAAAGTGGCATAGATAATGAAATCAAATGTATTAAATTAAAATTAATTTAAATTTTATAAAAGATGATTTCTATTCGCGCTGTGTGGCAAATTCCAGTTGATTCGTCCTCAAAGTCAGTAACCTGACTGGTTGGCTTTATTTGTTATTGGCTTTTAAGCCAGCTTATAGCGGGTAAAAGTACGTTGTATCCAAAAGCTGTGTATTTGGTTAGTATATATGTATGTATAAATGAATTTATCTATAATAAAAAAAAAGTTGATGGGAAAAGCTGTAAAAGTCTCTGAAAGTGAAAGACACAACTGAACACAAAATGTACTAGTTTACCACTAGAACTTACGGACCGAAATCACACTAGCGCAAAGACTACCAAACTGATACCAGATACAAAAATGAATCTATATATATTTAATATTGCGTTTTATATTGATTTTTTCAAACTAACAAATTACCAAATATCGCCCAAAACTATACTAGTAATTTTCTGGTCCGCTTAGAACTGGTACAAAGCAAATCTAAAATAATCTAAAAATATCTGACAATCGCTGTTTAATGGCTTAAAATTCAAACTTCCTATTGTTTACTTAAATATAGAAGATGAAAGTAATTGCTTGACTAGTTTTAAGCTAGTTACGTCGTAGTATCTGACTAATCCCTAAACTTGCGTGGTTAATTTTAACGCGCTTACAAATGTGTTTCATAAACACATACATCTGTATACATATTTGAATATACTCAACACCTTGTTGTTTAAATAGAAAAAAAGATTAAAGTAAATAAACAAATAAAATGCTTGCGCTAACGAGTGCATACATATGCATATATATTATTGTATATATAAATATGTGCTTTTATGTATGTCTGTATGTATGTACGAGTATGTACAAGTCCATGTGCAGCAAAGTTTTTTACTAAGAAAAAAGAGAATTAATTCATTTGACTACTATTTCCGGTAAACTTTTAATTTTTCCTCCTCCTTCTTCTTCTTCTTCTTCTCCGTTTCCTTGTGCGTCGTAAGTCCAGAAAATCGGCGCCAGGTTCAGTAAGGCCAGTAAGAGTGACTTCGTGGGATGACACAAGTAGAGTGGACCAATGCAAGTTTTATTAGCTCGAAACGAGTGACCGACCTATATTTTGTATTTGTAACAATTGCTCCAAGTTTGTCTGTCGTACCTACATACATACATACATAAATACATACATACATAATTCCTTCTCTCATAAATTTCCCACTTCTACTGCCCCAATCAGGATGTTAGTGTTGCAGAATGTAAGCATCCATCGAAGTTTCCACTATTCGTCTGTACATACATACGTGTATATATGTATGTGCATCGTTGCATCCCCTGCATTCTAATGACCTATTTACCCGCATTGTATTGAGTACCTGAAAATTTGTTGCATATTTATTCGGCCGGACGAAGTGCGCAATTGCAAACTTTTGAGTTTTTTTCTTGTTTTGTGGCTTGCGATGTAGGTGACCAAACCATATGCGAGCACTTGAAGCCGCTTGGAGGAACTTACTGGATTGAGTGGGAATGACAGACTTCCCTGAAAAGAAAAGTTTATGTGGATTTAATTTTTTGCCCTCAACTCGGAAGTAGGTACCCTAACACTAAATGTACGCTGAGGATCCCCTTAGCAGAGGCTGTACTTCATTGGTTATATCTGAAACCTGTTTTAGACAAAAAAAGAAAAAAAAAAATAGCAGAACTTAGAAGAAATATTAAACACTTCAACAAGAAACCTGAAGATAATATACGCCAGACTCCAGTAAAAAAGTTATCAGGTTCTTTGAACCCAGAAATCGAAAAGATCATTCGAAAATTTGTAGCAACTCACAAGGCTACATTTCTAGAGACTCACTAATCTCAAAACCTTAGAGCAGGTTTCAGAGATTTCTTAGCTGAAGTAAATGAGGTAAATATATTCCTATCCGCTTTTTGTTTGCAAAACCACAACTAAAAAAAAGTTAAAGGAGTGAATTCTACTTGACCACACTGAACTTTCCCAAATCTAGTTAGGACGTAAGGTTGCATTGTGCTGCTCATGAAGCTCAGGCCGCGGACTATCTTGAAAATTCCCCAACAAATGGAGGGACCGATTCCGTCAAAGTCACCTCCGAACGGTTGTCTGATTTTTATGAGGAGTTTTTATTTCAGGTCAGAATTACAATCGGAGGACTCAACATTCCCTGCCTTGAGTCAACCACAAATAGTAAAAATAATTTTCTATGTTCGTCGATTTAGGATTCGTGCCCCGACCTTCCGAAAGTTAGTACGTAAAGCTTACCACTCGGCTATTGTGTAACCATTTAGGGAATCTTGTAAAGGGATTGCAGATATTAGCTAAAGCCCACCAAGATCGTCAAAAAGGTGTCAATAGTCACTTACAATTTTTGGTGCCTTCGAGTTGAGCAATCCTTCCATGATTCCAATGAATTCTGCTTTGAAGACACTGCAATGAATTGTAGCCTATTACTCATATTACTTGAGTGCATCGGTGTGTGGATCTCACAGCCTACCCTGTCATTGAGTTTCGGACCATTTCTTTACAGACTTTAGGTCACAAAACCCGTCCCTTTGTGTGTTTCCCATTCTTTACCGCTTGGTGTTCTTATGGAATTGATAGTGTCTAAAAGAAAGTTGATATAGTCCAGTTCTTCCGGAACTGACCGAGATAAGTTAATTCCGTGCATCTTGTATACCTCCAAGACTGAAAGTCGTTCAATCTAATTTCGTTGCACGTCACATCGAGTTTGACCTACAGTCGAGAGTGAGGAAATTAAGGACAACTTCGAGGTCTTTTGAAGGAATCGATGGTAGGGCTGCTCTTGTGAGAATAGTTGCAGACCGCTGGGACGATGCAGTAGAATGAGCTAGGTCTAAGTGCTGCTGCTGGATATATCCAGTGGATTCAATTACCAGTGGCTGAGGGTTAGGGGCTCAAGAATTTACCAGCGGTAAGGCATGCCGTCGTAGGATGTGACTAAAATCCAATAGTTCCCGCGACAGTCGGGTCTTTATACCGGAACGAGCCGTCGCTGCCGCAACATTCGCCAAAAAGTACTTTGGGGAATAATTTCGCGGTTACAACAACAACAACTACCAGTGGGAGCTATGTAAGTACAAAGTGCTCTTAAGGCCTTTACCTTTATGGCAGGTTTCAGTTACAGCTTACTTTACTATCTAAGATTATCCGAAATATTTGACTTCGGAGAACAATGTCCAGTAGCTTAAAAGCTGGTATTTCGTATCTCATGCTTTTGCTGACTTTTTGACGTAATGTCGCCAAAAGGATGACAGCCCCTGGTCACATAAAATCCGGCTCAACTGCAGTGCACACAACCGGCTGTCACTCAGTGCGCTATTCCTGCACCAGTTTCCTAAAATGTCTAAAGTGTTTTGAAATAGATTACTTAGAATTTGAGCGTGTTATCCTGCCGTTATTAAGGTAACACCAACAGCTTGTGCTACTACATCAGAACTCGTGCTGTTTAGCTTCCAAATGTGAGACATCACAGCAGTAGTCAAGGCTCCCAGATGATTATCTTCCTCAGGAAAGACTGTATAGGCGACATTATGGTCTGTTCGAGACCCTAAAAAGTTTTCCGTTTCGCAAGTACAAAAGCAAAACCAAGCATTAAATCTAAAACAGTAAGGGAAATTATTTCTGACGTAAGCACATAACCTAAAAATTTTCTCAATCCGTTGGAAGAACTTTACGGGTGGTAGCGTAGGAATAGTAGGAGAATGTGTTTTACATTTTTTTCGGATACTCGATCGAGTACATTTCTTCCGAAAACCTTTTGCGTCCATTTCATTGGAACAAACTGTATTTTAGGTTATGGCGAAATTAGCTCAAATCCAATTAAGCAAAGAATTTCGATAATTTTTAGAAGTAAAACTTGTTGAAATAAATTTTCATTACGAAAAATAATTAAACTACATGCACTTATTAGTAAATCGTTCTATATAAGCGAGCTCAAATGCCTGAGCCACCCGCGACAGTCAGCCTTACCGTTTGGCCAGCAATATGACAAGCCAAGTCTATAGCAAATCAAAACTGCTCATCATCAAAACCTGGATATTCTCATATCTAATTCAAAGCACATGCGGACGTCGTCCTTCACACAATCATCCAATTCCTCACATACAACCGCGTGTACTTGGTGGTCAGACAGCAGTGCAGACGCAATTTCCCTACCAAGTGCAGGTGATCGCCGAGGGCAGTAGCTACGAAAAACGATGCGGTGGCTCGATAATTACACAAAACCATATTTTGACTGCTGCACATTGTGTGGACGGCGACGAGGCGGTCAGCATACGTGCGGGTACTACTATCTTCAAAGTCGGCGGCGTCGTCAAAATGGTGTCGAACGTGACAATGCATCCGGAGTACAGCGCTTATCACAATGATATCGCCATACTAGAATTAGAAAGTGCGCTGGAGTTTAACCCTTTCATCAAGTCGATACCGCTCGCCACAAGCAGCATACCCAAGGGTGCAACGGTAACAGTGAGTGGTTGGGGTCTGATGTTACATAACCGACACGCTTTCTTACTACAATACGATACAGAGTACACTATCAGTCACGGGGAGTGCGTTAAACGTTTGCATTACTTAGCGGATTCCATGTGTTGTTTCGTTAATCCAGCATCGCATGGCGTTTGCTCGGGCGACTCGGGTGGTCCGGCAGTCCTAAACGGTAAGCTGGTTGGTGTTGCTTCTTACGTTGTCGGTTTTTGTGGCAGCAAATATCCCGATGTATTCACCGACGTGTTTGTGGCGAGAGAGTGGATTCTGGAAAATACGAAGACCAGTGTGGACTAGCTTAAGCTGTTCTTAGTTCTGTGGTATTTATGTAGATAAAGATATATGAGGTTAAAGATATATGAGAAAATGTAATACAGACATATTATTTGCATTGTTCGACCTCACCTTAAGAAGCGGATGCTGTATCACGGTATTCAGAGAACTAACCTCGCTAAAGGTCTCTGTAGGAACTTGGCCACACCTTTTTGTGCCGATTATTCGTTTCTGAAATCACCGTCGGGAAGTGATTTAAGCAGCCTGGCAAAGGGAGCCCTTAACTAGAGCGGTCTCGAACAGTGCCTTTAAGAACCAAGCGACACCTAGGCATATCTATGCCCTTACCCAAGCACTTCGTCCTCTGCTCGGCTAGGCAAAAAATATTTTCTGTGCTACTCTTTAAGCAAATTAAATATCATGGAAGTAAATAGAAATCCGGCAGTTTGACTAAAATATGGAAGAGCACAGAAGCTTATTAACTTAGGTACTAGTGCGAGTAATTCTTTAGGTCATTTAATCACAACAGTGAGTTGTGGCCCGGTGTCATTTCGAAAGTCGGTCCCATCACAACTCCAAGTCACCCTCATTGATTGGGACAAGAAAAGGTAATGTACTAAGTAAATGACTGCAGGGCGTAGCCAGGAGTAGCAGTGAAACCAGTGTGCAGGCGCTGCGAGTACTACTCTCTACCCCTACGGTTTTCCCCAAACCTCAAAATGGACAATATCCCAAATTTTATTAGTACAGCAAACTACTTGTGACAAAAAATCGGGGTATGTCAATAGAGGTGCCCAACTGAGTTAGGATGCAGGCACTATTATTCGCGGAGATAGCACAGGAGCCTGCTTTTCTAGGATTAGTCCACGAAAAAAAAGAAAAACGTAGCGTCCACGTCCCAGCTTGGCAATGCTATATTAGATAGTCGTGAGTGGACTAGAAGAGGTATACCCTTCGATTTAAAGACTTACCATCCAGGCCAATGTCCGGAGTCTGGCATAAAATTCAAAGAATCTGATCTAAAACTCAAAATGATCAGCCTTTTCATTCAAAAACTTCCCCCATGGGCTTGAAGGTGGTAATTGCGGAGCCAAGCACAAAGGTGAAGTTTTCTCAGTAGTCCAAATAGGCTGTCTGCTTAAGAAATTAATTTTTATTTTCTTTACTTGATCATTTTTCAATAGGAATTCTCAGTCCTCAACCTGTCCTGTTAAAACTCCTCTCACTAAAGTGGTTATGCTTCTTGTGAGCTTCGCTTTTCGGCCAAGCTTGTCTGGACACGTTGTAAAACGGGAATATTGACATTGGTACTGCCTTGCCTACGTTCCGGTAGCCGAAAACCAAAACGACAGCTAGTTCTTGGAGAACTCCCTGAAAATTCAGCACAATTGTTGAGTTTGTTTACTGATAGCCTCTGGAAATAAGGATAAACTCGGCTTTAATGTAATCTTCAACCTCCGCTGATGATGAAGACTTAATAAAGAGTTGAATTGGTGAGTTTATTCAAAAGACAACACCACCAACCGCTTACCGTAGACCTAAGTATCGCAGTCAGCATTCCATTCTTCTCTTTATGGAATTTGCATCATGTAACAAAGTTGTAACTGAAAACTCGGCTTGAGCAGTTGAGCAGCGGTCTGAATGTTTCTAGCAACGACCAAAACCAAAAGCTTTAAAGAGACCGTTAGAAAGCCACTTTGTGTAAGTAAAGACATAAGCCCATGAAAAGCTTATCGAGTGTAAGCAAAAAAAGCTGCGGAAAAGCTTTAGTTTCTAAGAGTATTCCTGGAAACAATCCTTCTCTCTGCCTTAATTTATGTTTTCTCTCTCTCGCTCTCTTCCTCTTTACCTTTACCTTGTAGCAAACTCTCTTTTACTCATCGAATAGTTTGGTTTTTTTATCTCATTCACCCTCTCCGTGCACGTCTACATTAACCTTGGTATTTGGTTTGATGGTAAAAATCTGTTTCGCTTCAGTTTTTGTTTTAGCCGTCTCACCTTCAAACCGTAATGTCCTTTGATCTTGAATTTTATGAGGTAAATGCAATATGAAGTTGTTTTTCCGTTGAATGTCAGAGGTGAATGTATTTAATTGGTTTTCAATGAGAGCGCTTTCGAAGCTTAAGGTGGAATTATGTACTTTCGTTTGAGTTTTATTTATTTATTTAATTTTTATTTTATTGAATATACTATACCAGACATTGCAAGGACTTTATCAGTCTCGTGCCAATTATTGTATACACATAAATATTTTTTATTCTATTTACGATAGTTCTCTGCACAAACCGATTGATACGAGTACTCTCTTTAAGGCATCCTGTTCCTGACATTGAACTCACAGCACGTTTCAAGGCAAGTCTATTTTTACATTTGCATATCCAAATATATTCCGAATTCAAATACACATATCTACTTACACAGCCGAAAATAATATATATATTTGTTTCATTTTCTTGTTACATTTATTACCAACAAAAATATGGGGGACTCGTCTAAAGTGCTTCAGTGGTGAATACAGAATTTAAAATTTTATGAGAGCAGTGTGACGTCAAAGAGCAACACAATAAACAGCAGTTTTCCTGCAATTTGGGGTGTGTGTCAATATATATATATATTTTTTTTTTAGCAAACGAGAGGACCAAGAGTTTATCCAAAGACACCTCCAAACTGTTAAAAAAAATTGTAAGGAAACTTTTAACTTCACGTCAGAAATATTTTTGAAAGCGCAAACGCAAAGTCATCATGTTGAAAATGTGGTTTGCTGGGATACGCTGTAAAGAAAATGAGTCTTTATTTCCATTTATGTTTACATTTATATGCATGCTATTGTGCCTTGTGCATTTGCATCTATTATTTTAGTAGCAATTCAGCAATATTACTTTTTAAAGTGCGCCTAAAAATAGGCAATGGTTTTAGTAATTTCTCACTATGATTGCTTTTCATTGGGCCAGGTGCGCCTTTAATATTGTAAAAAGTAGTTGTGTAATAAAATGAAGTTAAATGAAATAAATTTAATTTATGTTTATGAATGTAAAAAAAGTATGTTAAAGCAAAATAAAATAAAATTAAAAAAAAATTAATTAATATAAAATTCAATAAAATATTAAAATTAAATACGATAAAAGTAATAAATAAAATAAAGAAAAAAAAGTAAAATTAAAAAAAAAAAATTAAAAAAAAAATATTAAATAGTAAAATGATATAAAATAAATCAAGCAAAAAAATAAAAAGAAAAACTAAATATAATAAAAAAATCTATTATATAATTTATTCTAAAATTTAATTAAATAAATAGAAAATCCAATTCAAAACCTTCCTAACAGTCGAAAAAAAACTAAATTAAAAAAATAAATAAATAAAAAAAGGTTTTTTAATTTTATTTTTAATATAATTAGAGAAATAAAATAAAATAAAATCTAATAAATTAATTTAAAATTAAAGTAAATTAATTTAAAAGCAAAGTAAATCCAATTAAAAAGTAAATTAATTTAAAAGCAAAGTAATTCCAATTAAAAAAAAAACCAAATTAAAACAAAATAAATAAAAAATATTTATAATTATATTTTTAATATAATTAAAGAAATAAAAAAAAAAACAAAATAAAATCTAATAATTTAATATAAAATGAAATTAAATTAATTAAATAGCAATAAAGTAAACCCAACTAAAAAATTTTGCAACAGTCTAAAGAAAAGCTAAATTGAAACAAAATTAAATAAATAAAATTAAATATAGTATAATTAAATAAAATAAATATATGAGACAAATTAAAATAAAACTCTTGTTAACTTAAATTAATTTTGACAAGTAAAATGTTTTTCAAGTCTGATTTTTTTATATACTTAATTTAATATTATTTTGTAAATATTATTAATGTAAATAATAAAAAAAGGTATGTATTATAATATAATATATTACACTTATAATACACTTAGAAATAGGTAAATGAAATAAATAAAATTAACTGAAGTAAAATTAAGTCATAAAAAATTTGCGAAATTATAGTAAGTAAAAAAAAGTATTTTTTTCAACACACGCATACATAAATACTTTCAAACTGAGAGCATTGAACTTTTAATAAAAATATTTTGTAAATAAACAAATATGTTTTAAAACAATTTTGAATAAAATTTATTAATTGCACCACAAATATGGACATTTTCATCACCAAGCGCAACAGGTAATCTTTAATAAGTCAAAACTTCCTTTCCCGTTTGATATACGAACAACACACACAGTCGCATTGATTTTCCTATAAACTACCGGAGGCTTGCCTCATTACTGTCGCCTTCCTGACTTTCCCAATCGATATTCAAAAGGAAACATAGCCACACATCTACACATGTTTATATGTATGTATGTGAGCAGGTATGCATGTACATATGTATGTATGTGTATGCCTAAGTATTTTTCAAATGTGCATCAATGTTGCACTTCAATCAATTTTCATGTCATTGCACTACAGACTTGACATTGAATATGTCTGTAGCTGCAACAGTAGCAATAGTAAAAACAAAAAACTTGTCAACAATTCATAGGCTTGTAAAGCATAACGGACCTGTTGTACGAGTAACACACACATACATACATACATCTATTAACTGCACCGCCTTCATTTCTTTGATGTTGCTATTTTTGTTGTTGCGGCGCAAAACGCTTTAGATATCTCTATTAGTAAAAGCATAAAAAATTGTCAATCGTAACTGGAACGAAAACTGGAATTGCAAGCAAAGGAGAATAAACATCCGCAAAGCAAGAAATACAAATACATACATAAAAAACGAAAATTAAAAAATGAAATGAAATGAAAAAATGTTAAATTACTAATTACGCACATTGAATGGCTAAAAAATTATTACATATTTTTTGCTTGGAATACATAAGTGATAACGATGACAGCACCTGCCTTTTTCCCACATTCCCCTTCGCCAGCTTAAAATGCTCATTTCATTTTGGGTTGTAAAGAAAATATTTACTTCTTCTAAGGTAACGTAAAATAAAGATAACTGTTATTTCTCTCATCCAACCTTGTCCTCGATATTCACTATTCGATTTTGCGAATTTACTTGCACCTTCGTTTTTCACCACGGAAGTAATTAAATTGCGAGTTTAATGACATGTTAAACTTGCAGTTATTCGCTGAACATAGACAGACGTCTCCGCAACAGGAAAGTCACAATCGAACCATAGATAATTGCAGGACAATAAACTTGACATTGACCATCGTTTGCATGGCTGTCAAATAATTAAATAGTAAATTTTGAAATCACACATAACAACTTTGTAGTAAACCCAAAAACAATTTAAGTGATAAATGTAAAAGTGAAAAAAAAACGCAATAAAAAATTTTAAAACCGAACTGAGCGCTCGTAAGCACGTGTGGGTTGCTGCAATTGTTGTGTGAAACATTAATATTGCGAGCGAATACATAAAGTTAATGTTTTATTACTCTATTACATTAAAAACCTGCAAAGCAAGTCAAAACAGTTAACCTCAAAAACATCTGTTGGGGTACAAAAGACCCCAAATAGGACGTTTTCTTTGCATTTTCACAATAAATTTCTACTTTTCACTTATTATCGTGAACTTAAAAATATGAGTTTATTTATGAATCAAGACACATATTTGAATTAAAAAAAAATAAAACTATTTTTTCCACCTCCGCAGCTTGGACTTCTTTCATGGAATTAAGCAATGAAAAGAAGAATAAAACTTCAGGAAATATATAAAATGCATTATTAATCCAATTTCATTTTCGAAATATCCGATTAACTTAGCCAGTAACTGGGATAGCAAACCACCAAACAGGTTGGCGTGACACTTTCCTCCCCCGGCGGGTTGGAGGTTCAAGTAGTTACCCGCGGTAAGCCATGCCTGTCGTAAGAGGTGACTAAAATCCAATAGTTCCCGGGACAGTCGGATCTTTAAACCGCAACGACCCGAATTTTTAGCCGGCCAAAGGCCTGTCAGTCCCACAATATTCCACAAAATGTTCTATGGGGAATATTTTTGCGGTTACAACAACAACAACAACAACATGTGACACTTCGTTTTCACTAAGGGCCGTTTTCACCATCTCGTTAAGGTGCATCTGTCAATTATCATAAGTTGCGGTTAACTTAACACCAACATTGAGCGGCGATTAGCTCTTAACCAGCAGATAATTTGACAGCTGGAAGTTGAAAAATAATAAATAAAATATTATTCCGGTGTTGGCTTTAAAATAAATTTTATTATGGAAAATATGAAACGCACTGCCTATCTGGCTGCGTAGATTCAGAGGCGTATTTTAATGGAAAGAACGTGCGGTACATAAATAAACTTTTTTCAGAAATATGATGGAGAAGTTTTTATTCGTAGATTTCGTCTTTCCAAAAGACGGGCCTAAGTTTTGGTTGCTTAACTTCTGGTTAGTTTGATCGTTGTGAATATTTTAAGGAAAATTTACAAAAATTTGTGTTGTGAATTCATCAAAACTGCATGGCAAATTAATTTTTTTGAACTTCCGTCTTCTGCTTTATATTAGGTCAAGTAAAAAATTCGTTCGCTTTTTTTATTGATGATTTCAAAATATGATAATTTTGTGTACATTTGTCCGATTTAAGTCAAATATGCGCCGTTTTGTTCGTAAACTTCATTATACCCCTCTCGTAGAAGGCTGCGTCCCTATTGGCAAAAAGCTCTGAGAGCCAATTTTCACAGGCCTCTCTTGAGGCCAACTTCTCACCATTAAGCGCGTTCGCTTTGGGCAGGAAAAGATGGTAATCACTTGGTGCCAGTTCCGGACTATAAGGTGGGTGCAGTGCCCATCCGAGCTCCTAGAGCTTCTGGCGTGTCACAAAAGACGTGTGTGGCCCTGGCGTTGTCCTGATGAAACAAAATTCGGCCTGTGTTGATCAAAGATGGCCTCTTCTGCATGAACGCTGCCTTCAAGCGGTCCATCTATTGTCAATAGAAGGCCGAATTGAGCGTTTGTCCATAGGGGAGCAGCTCGTAGTAGATGATTCCTTGCCAATCCCACCAAACATACAGCAAAACCTGGTGCATCTTTTTGAAAAAACCCCAAGACGCAAACCAGAAATTGGAGCAGGAAAATCACTTCAGCAATTACAAAGCGGAAAAAAATTTAAAAAAATTATATTATAATTAAATAAAAAAAATATATATATAATATATGTATAAAAAGAAAAACTAAAAAAAATGAAATAAAATATTAAATATAAAATTAATTAAATTCTCAAGGAAGTTAACAGATTTCAAACAAAATAAAATAAAATATATTAATTTAGTGTATTAACTACAATTATATTAAATTAGTCAAAATATTATAATAAAGAGTAATTTTTAAGAGCTATAGGAAAGTTAAAAAAAAACACATTAAATTCAGAAAAATGCATGAAAAAGATATTTATTTGAATCGGTAATACGGTCCATATAATTTACTGTTTGAAGGTTATTTCATGCAAATGTTGACCGTGACTGCGTTTCAAATGGTCCGTCCGCTTAGTCCAATTATGGCATACTTTTTCCAACACTTCGGCTGGTATCTCACTAATAAATGCTTCAATGTTGTCCTCCAATGCGTCAATTGAAGCGGGCTTGCCTGTATAGACATTAGATTTAATATAGTCCCAAAAAAATAGTCTAAAGGCGTGACCGGTCCCGAACGTGAAATAAAATGTTCATCGGCCTCGCCTCCATTGTTACGCGCGCTGTGTGGCATGTGACAACGTTTTGTTGAAACCGCATGTCATGCAAGTCAAGTTCTTGCAAAGTTTTATATCATATCACGGTAGCGCTCCCCACTCACCAGTTATGATGCGATTCGCATCATCTTTAAATAAGTACGGCCCAATGATACCACCAGCCCATAAACCGCATCAAAATGTGACCTTTTCTGGATGCCTTGGTAGCTCTTGCAATTTGATCTTCACTACAAAATCGACGATTCTGCTTATTTACGCATCCTTTAAGCCAAAAATGAGCTTCGTCGCTGAATACATTTTTTTAACTTTCTTAACATCTTTTGATAATAAAATTCAATAATTTGCAAGCGTTGTTCGTTTGTAAGAAGATTCATGGTTAAATCATAGACCAAACTGAAGATGCTTGACGGTGCTACAAAACACGAAACGTGCTTCAGCTGTTTAAACCAGTGCTGCCATAAAGATAATATCTATAAAAACACCCTTTATAAATATGATCTCAATAAAATATTATAGAATTAAAATTAAATCTTTAAATGTGAACTAAAAATAAAAAAATAATAATTGCAAACTAAAACTTAAAATAAAATTAAAATTAATATTATACATAATTAAAAATTATTATAATAAAATTAAATAAATATTAATTCAACGAATACTTCAAATTTGTTAACAATCACCCACTGTAACTCTCTCACAGCTGTGGTGACTACCAACACCAGTAGCTATGGCCATTGGCAACATGAAGAAAAAACATCCAGACAATAACAAACAACATAATTTCCCTATGCCGAAATGCTGGAGACAACGCTAGCCGTAGCAGCCGTGGCTACTGTTACAACGCCAACAGCAAGCTCCAACGCACCACAGACGAGAAACTCAATACACACCACTCTTCATTTTCGAGTCAAGTTCGGTGCTGTCGAGCGCAGTCAAAGCATAGTGAAAACCGCTTTCAGCTTTCAGTTGAGCTCCGACGCTACAACCAAATGGTTCGATTCTTTTCCACAACGCCCAGCTTACATTGTCGTGATTTCGTGCGTTTGCGTACGACGTACGATTGCCTGTGTTTGTTTTAATGTAATAATTACCTATATGTGTTTGTGTGTATGTATATACATATGTGTTGAATGAAATAGGCAGACAACTCAAGTGATAGCTGAGGGAAGAGTTCTGATTTTGCAGAAAAAATAAAAATGCACATAAATTAATAAATATTCGCAGAGAAAGAAAGTGAAGCAAATGATAAAAGCAACAGAAAAAATATATATATAAATAAATATTTTATATAAATAATAAATAGGAAGGAAATATTCATTCATTGCTTCATAAACGTTTGACAGTGAACTTCGTCAACGGAAATCATTACGGCCGACAGATAAAGTTTTGTCTCGAGTACGAGCCTGAAGTGCGAGTATTGACAAAAGGTAGTTTCTACAAATATACATACATATGAATGTATTTATTAGATGACTTGTGTTAATAAAGAAAGTCATTATATGTATGTGAATGCACATATGTTTATATGTATATGGAGACCACAAAAAGTCAATTTAGAGGTGTTTGGCTTTGACTCTGAACTCCTCCAAGTCAAAGTGTTTTATTTTTAATTATTTTTATTTTTATTTTTTGTTTACTCGGCAAAAGTCGTAAATTTTAGTTTATGTAAAGAAATTGTTGTCAAAGTCATAAATTAGAAATGAGAAAATCTTAGCGTAATAAAAACTAAGTGAAGCGCTTTGACTTTATATATATGTATGTATGTATAAGTGGCTCGAGTATGTCATAAAATCTCGCCTAACCCTCCCTAACAGCAGCTTAGGAATATGCATAAACTTTGCTTTTTAATTTCTTTTTCCCTTTTATTTAATATTTTTCCATATTTATGTACATACATATACATATAAACATACATTTACACCGAATGTCTTCTCCTTTCCATTGCTTTTACGAAATTTTGTAGGTCAATGGCTTTCCTTAAAAGGGTTTTGAATTGGCGTTATTTTAATTAGTTTTTATCAAAACTTACACATTTGTGATTATGCAGTGCCTAATCTATCGAGTATAATCTTAGTTTAAATCCAAAACTCGTCAGTTCGAAACTGTATGTAAACAGCGCTTCAAACTCAGTCTCTGCAAGGTAGTATCATCTAAAAGACGGTGGTTAAATGTCTTTACTTTGTCAAATTTCTAAACTGCTTCACCAGCGCACTCCTTGCGAGGTATTCGTGTTCAAAAATTTACTGATTTCCTTCGAAAATTATCACCTAAAAAGGTTTAAAACTGTGGACATATGGGTTCACGAATAGATTGTAAAGCACCATAACCAGTTATATCAAGAGTTAGTGAGCTGAGTTCGGAGCTTCACGGTAAATAACACTCACATCAAGCTTCTTCATGAAAGATACTCAAATATTTCTATTAATCCCGTAATATTAAACTGAAACAGAGATAATGTTTTTCTTACGTTCTAAACAATTTTTCTCTACTTTGGTATTGGGTTCCAACGTACATAAGGTCAGAATTCGAGTCCTCGCCTGGCGAAACATCTCAAAATTATCCAAAAATCAATTCCTCTAATTACGGTCGACCCTTTGCAGTAAATGTCAAGCAGTGCTGGGGCGGTACACCAAAAATCGCAGGATGAAGCCAAATATATGTACTTCAAAAAATACATACTCAACGTAGTCTCTGGAATTCTTACGCTTCAGTTTCTAAACCCCAATGTGCTTCTCGGGTTGGGCATATGTATGTCATGTGCGAATTCAATGTGGTCGAAAATGTTAAGAAATTGGCAATAAAATATCATTCGAAATGAACTAAGACTGCTCGTCTAGATTCATATTCCTTCGATGTCAGTCAGCAAGTGCTCTCTGCTAAAAACAAGTATTTCCTCATTGTTGAGCAAAGACACAAAAAATATCCGTCAAACGTACGTTGGAGTGGCGCAACCTTGCCTTTTCCCTGAGTATATGAAAAAGAAATTCATACCTCTAAACGGTGCCACTGTGAGAAGGAACCGTCTTCCCCTAATGATAGGCGGCCGCGGTAGCCGAGTGGTTAGCATTGCGTACTGCCCTTCGGGAGGTTCGGTTTCAAATCCCCATGCGTCCAACAACCAAAAGTTATAGAAAACTAATTTGAATCCAAAATGAAGTGAAATTTTCTAATTGCGGTCGCCCCTCGGCAGGGAACGCCAACCTCTCCGAGTGTATTTTTGACACGAAATGAAGCTCCTCAAAAAAAAACTCCCATCAGCCATTCGGTGGCGGCTTAGTATAAACTGTAGGACCCTCCATTTATTGGAAAAACATCAAGACCCAAAACCTCATATTGGAGGAGGAGCTCGATGGAAAATCGCTACAGCGGTTACGAAGCGCCGATTATATATATAACTAATATAATTTGAAAATGCAGTCGAATATCCGTATGTGTTGATAAAATGAAGCTCACAGATCGCAGAAAACAATATACGATAGCCTTCGGACCATAAAGTTATTGAAGTATTGATAATAAGTTCGCTTACACCAAAGCTCTCCCTTTCTCTCTTATCCTAAATTCAGCCCCAGTAACCGTGTGACTATCAGTTTATGCCATCATGCGAAGAGCCGTGAGATCTGACCAGATCAACATCCAAAAATATGGGAAATTAATTAAAAAAATCAAATTTTTCTAATTTGGATTGCTCCTCGGTAGGGAATGTCAAAAGTTCCTCGTCTATTTCTGGTATTGCATAAATTGTAAAAATTCATCAGCCGTTCGGAGGTGGCGTCAATTTGTTTGCTCTCTGATACAATAACTGTCCTGTGACACATTCTAAGAGTATAGAAGAAGAACTAACTAAGAATAATGAGTTATCCTCTGCAAAATACGTGAAAAATTCTATAAAATATTATCTTTTCGGCGTTTTTCTCAAGCCTAAATTACGCCCTTTGTAGGGAAAATATCAACAAACTCTATGGAATGACGAGAAGAGTCCATTAGACATCTACCCGAGTGCGTCTGTCTGTCCGTTCGCTGATAACTCGAGTACGGATTGAAATGTTTCGATGAAACTTGGCTCATAAGTACGGAAGCCATCTGCTATGTAACGGTTATTTTGAAAAGTTCTAAAATCTCAATAATTCCGTAACCAAATACATTTTCGAGGCAGTTGCCTTAAAAGGAAAAAATGAGGCGTGGAAAAAGTATATCTCAGCAACCCCTTGACAGAGGACAGAGCGCAATCGGGCATTAACTTAGGTCCGAAGTAAGCACAAAAAGGAGAAGAAATAGGTTCACCAAAACTTATATTGATTGAGTTAGAATAGCGAGTTAAGTTGATTTAGCCATGTCCAGCCATACAAATTTTCAAGACAAATACACGATTATTTGTCGGAACTGGTCAGATCGGATCTCAATATCATAAATACAGCCGATTTTTCCGATATGAGGATTTGGATTTCTCTAAATAATACCAAAGAGCTTAAAATTCGGTATTCTGTATTAATTTTTATTTTTTATTTTTTTATTTTTTTTTTTTGACAGGACAGAATATCAAATAGCCTTTATACAACCGATTGGTGGGACTTGGATCAAATAGCATCTAAGAAACCGTAAAAGTTCATCATAGAGCCACCTCTAAGTATTTTTTCAGATATGAGAACTAATATATGTAAATATTTCTAACCCTAAAATGTTATACCATAAATTTGATATGGTCATGGAAGGGATAAAGATTTCGGTAGGGCCAAAGAAAATCTTCTTTTTTGTTTTTGTAAAAATTTATTTATTAAATTGATATTAAATTCACATAAATCATGCAAATAAGAATTAATTAAAAATTTTATTTTAAGTTTTTGAATTTTTTTTTTTCAGTGGAAATTAAACAACTGTGACATCTGAAATTATACAGATTTTTCAACAAAAAAAAACTGCTGCTTAAGAACAAATAGGTAAGTTTCTCTAAGTAAATTCTATTCGAAAACTAATTGAGTAATTCTTGAAGAAAACTACACACGCATGTGCACACTAATGTGTACGTGTATGTATATATGTAGCAAACTTAAAATTTAAGTGCAAAGTGCAATAAAGCACAGATGCTGTATTCACGGCCAATGTCAATGGCAAGGATATAATTCAGGCGGCAGAGGTAATGCATCCGCCAGCTGGATGGCTGACTACCGGACAGGCTGAGTAGTTGGCTCTGTACCAATACCAGTGCATACAATACAGTTGGCAAGGCTGTCAAGGTGAAGGTTAAAGGCGTACAACATCGTATGCATTGATGAGCGAGGTTAGACGAGTAGTTCGTGGAAAGGCTGAGAGAAGAGAAGAGGAGAGAATTGAGTGATTTTGTCTTTTGTTGGTGGAAATCGCAAAGCTGATTGTAATGAAATAAGAGAAAGAATTGATTTAAAGGTTCTATCTTAACAATCAATTTTTCTGATATGTATTTATTCATTATTTAATTATTTATTAATTTAGTAAAAAACATATATTTAACTTTTCGAAAATTTAAAAAAAAATTCAGCAGAAAGTGTGATTTACAGCAAAATATTTCATTGTTTACAAGCGAGAAATGTTTTTTTTTTCTTTTGGAAATATTGGAATATTAATTGTGCGCATGCTCCCATAAATGAGGTTTGTGCTTTCTCTTGCTCTCTTGGCTTCCATTAGCATACACTGTATGCAGTCTCTTATATAAATTTGGCGCTTTTGGCGAATAAAGGAAAGCTTTCACAAAAAAGCCCCTGAAATTAGTATGATTTTCTACAAAACAAAACACTATTTAAAAAAAATTATTATTTTTTTATTAAAAAAAATGTTTAAGAACGCTTAAAACTCAATGTGATGGTGTTTCTCGTTGAGTTCGGTTTGTTTAAGTAGAGAGACCTCAGTAATGTACCATCTGTATTTAAAAACTAGGAAGTACCATTCTTTATTCATTTTATTCAGAACCGAAGTACATTCGAAACGTAGGAAACATCAAAAATCATTGGGTTGTAAAAAAGCGAATAGATCTAAGTAATAGATAACTTGAACAATAATATTCTCGGCTCAATTACAAACTGGTTCAAACTGTCCCTCTTCTCTACTGAAAGTGGCTGAATAAAAATCTGGGTTGTTCTGATATAAAAAGCCGTCTGCCGTCGATTCTTACGACAGGCAAGCCTTACCATGCAAGGGTAACGGCTCTTAAGTCATCCGAGCTGGTGAGCACGAGCAAAATTATTCATAGACAACTAGAACGGGCCATGTGAAGCGCTTGTCTTTTTTTAAATCCGATCCTCCAGAAGCACACCGCAAGGTGCTCTTTATTCGATATTAGCGAAGCGATAGTTAGCTCATCTGCTTTGAAATCTTCAGCAACCCATATGATTTTTATTCTATGATAATAAGCATTTCTTTACAACTTTAGAGCTCACTAGAAATGAACCCCCAGACCTTAAAAGACAATAAGCCGTCTCTACTCGAAAAACCCTACAAATGTCGGGAAGTCTGAACCACCGGTCATGGAATAAAACTCTATATGAGATTTCGGTCACGTTTTGAACCATCCGTATAATAATTAATTGATTGCTTCTAACCTTCAAGGGATTTGTCTTCTCATGAAAGGGTTATGATGGGAACGAGCCACTCGGGAAGAGACAACTCTTCCTTTTGGTATCCGGATGTCGAATTAATTAAATCAAACTTTTAATGTTTCCCCATTAAGACTCATCGTCCTCCTCTTAAGGCTTATAGCAACTCTGCAAATTATTATTTGTTGCTCCTTAGCGTCAATGGTTTTCCAGCCAAAATGGAAAATGAGTAAACACATTTTTTTCCTTTCGAAATTCACTGATAGTTTTGATTTTCAATTTCACAGCTGTCACATTAACAGTCAAGTGTACCGTTAACATTATAATTTTCAAACAATTTTATACATTTTCACTAGCACATCGGCACCGCCGAGTGACTCTCACGCCGATAACGTAGGCCGACCAGCCACTCGGCAGTCAAACCGGGCTTACACGTAGTGCGCTTGCGCCCGGTCTGTCCACCTTTGCCCACAGGCGTGTGTATGTATGTATGTATGTTTTTCATTTTTCTTATACAATTTATTTTAATTTTTTTTATTTATTTCCATGGAAAGTAATTTCACAGAAGAAAATCTGGTTAAGCGAGTCGCGTGCGACAAACAAGTTTGTTCCGCAAGCGCGGCAATCGTTCATCAGCCAGTAGGTGTGTGACAGCTGAAATGTATGGACATATGTATGTTTGTATGTTTGAATTAACAATGATGGCTTACATATGTTTTATTAATTTTTTTATTTTTTTTTATGTTTTTTGTTTACTTCAAACATGTCAATCTAACTGTCACTTTAATATGTGTCTACCATTCGTGACTTGACGTATTTAGCTAAATTGTTGTTGTTAACTACTATTACACGTATTGTGGTAAGACGGAGAAAAAGAAAAAACATTTGTTAAGAACTCTTTACGCTGTTGCTTGTGATTCAGAGCAGAATTTAACCCAGTGACCCAGAGCCGGTACATACTTACATACAAACATACAAACATACATACATAGATACATACATACATACAAACATACATACATGCATGCATACGATAGCTGCATAAGTTAATTATTGTTTGCTTGTATGCTTTTGTTCTCACTCACTCGCTCTCTCTCTCCCGCTGCCTCTCACTCACTTTGTCACCACAGCGGAGCTCCAAGATCTTCTTGTTCAAGTTGTTAATGGACTTGCACATTTGTCGTTTGCGAAATTAATGCTGCTGTTGTTGTGGTTGTTGCGAAATTATAAACATATAGTACTATTAACGGTATTTACTAACGGTGTTTGCAAAAGTAAACAAATTCAAGCAAAAAAAGCAGTAAATTTCAAGTAGCTTTTGTGCTTGGGTTGTTAAGAGTTCTATTGAAGTGAACTTTGTCTATTTAAGCTCGTCTTAGCAGTTAAATATGTATAGGGTTATTCATTTCGTGCTTTCAAAAGTACAGTGCTATAATTTGTCAAACTTAACTTTCAAACTAAAGACGGTTTGTTTTAGTTAAAAGTTACGCATTTCAGAAACTGGATCACTTAACAACCCCACAACTCGAAAGAAATGGTCATTCAAACGTGGCCAAGTTCGTGGCTTGAGAGGAGAAGGTACACATTTCTACTACTCAAGCAATTGATAAAATTTTAAAGAAATTTCAAGAAACCGGATCGGTGGCAGATACTGTAAGACCTGTGCATCAGCGTTTTTCTCGTTCCACCTCAAACATGAAAAATTAGCCGAAGACTCTGTGTCTATTTCTCGACACTGCTGGCACTTTGTTGTGGCACATTATGACGTGGTTTGCACTTGGACTTGCACCTACAACCATATAAAGTCCAGCTCATACAGCAATTGATGCCACCAGACCGAACGTACGTCGATTAGGTGATTGAACAACAAGCTATGGATGCCATTTTTCGAAAACAAAAATTCTTCAGCGGCGAGGTACATTTCTCACACTCGGAGACATGAAAATAAGTAAAATTATCGAATTTCAGGTGTCGAGATTCTTTGATAAATTGAAGAGGGTCGACTACATCAAAAGAATTAAGTTCTGTCCGTTGCGCCCTTTTTGCCGGAGGTGTTTTTGAACCTTGAGTTGAGATGAGCTGAGTTGAGTTGAGTTGTCGCGACTGCTCGCCGCTAACAGTACACTTAGTCCAATATGCCCATTGTGGTACCGCTGGGGTTCCTGCCTTCACCTTCTAAAATGATCGAACTATTTCGTGTGTCTTATAAACTTCTAATACTCGCTTAAGCTATCTCAGCGAAAGAGTCGAGTTTTCAAGGAATTTGTGTCGCGCAGATGTCAGTGGCAGAGATAGTGCTCGATAGTCTATTCCTCTTCTTCGTTCTTGCAGCAGCGGCAAAAATCATTAGAATGATGAGCTATTCTTTTCCCGTTAAGCCCCATCAAACTGGGTTCAGTTATTATGCCAGTCGTTATGTTCATTGAGAACCTGTCTAGAAGAAAAAGGTGTCTGGTCACATTAAACGTGAACTCCTTCAACCATCTTGAGTCAGCGTCTCTGGCAAAGGCCAATTTGAGCAAGTCTTAGCCGTGGACAGATGTTAGCCAGCATCGTGTGCATATTTTATCGTGGATAGATAGGATAGGGTTCCTTGCCATGCTAGTTCGTGTACCATTGCATGGGAAGGTCCTGTGTCCAGGTGCCCAGGCAACGGTAGTGCTATACTTAGTTGAGAGTCTGTTAAGAAAGTTCTTACATTTTATAGCCACTTTTGACGTGATGTGTGTCGGACTGTCGGTTGCCCTGCTGTCGTAGATTTATGCACCCACTCAGCTGATTTCATGATCGCAAAGAGTTTCGTCCGGAAAACGCTGTAGTGATCTGCTATTCTCATGCTCATGATATTCAATGAGAGCATAGGAGAATAAATTCCCACTTTTCCACTAAGCTTCAAGCCCTCTGTGAAGATGGCTATGTCTCCTTGCTCGGTGGTGTTGGTGGTTCCCACTCGCATCTGTTTGGGATTCTCTTGGTGAAAAACATTCGAAGCACATACAGGAGGTGGTGTAGTCCAGCTCATTCGGCAAGAGATAATATTTTTGTGTATCCTATGCTGTAATTCTTCCACGGCTGAGTTGTATTCAGTCTGATCGCATGGCAGTTCAGGGGAGGGATGTTGAGAAGAGTTCTTGTCTTGTGTCTGAAACTCACTTCTTTGAAAATGACAACGGCGATGCTGTCACAGTTAATTTGAAGCGTTATGGTCAGCTGCAGTTAAAGAGCGCGACTAGGGCAAAAAGGGATTTCAACAAGTTAGAGCCTCATGCCACAGAACACGACCGAATATGGTTTTATTGCGAGTAAAATTTCCCGGCCGTTTAATCTCACGTCTTGGCGATGTCAATTCGCCGCCGAATTCGTGTAATTTG